CTTTCAAGCTCTTGGTATTTCTTTCTTCAAAGCTCTTTACCAACATAAACTAATTAATTTCCCCCAACTCCTGAGAAATCTTACTGCTATCTGTTGTTTTCCTCTTCCTGAATGGAAGAACAAAGGAAGAAAGGGGGAAGCATTTTCTTCAAGGTCATTCGGCCAAAAATAGAAGGAAGTTCCCAGAATCCAATGAGATCAATGACCCCATCTCCATCCAGTTCCCCTCAACCCCTACCTCCTTGTGACTCATAGCATATATGTATACATTTGAAATAGCTAGCAGTTCTGGGGACCAGTTAGGATATAAAAGAATTTTTTTCCTCCTCTATGATGCTAACTATGGGAACTGTGATCTTGGCATCATTTTGAGTATTTTCTAAACAATTTTGTAACCAGTGTGAATTAAAAACTATTCAGGGTTGATGGTTTGATCAAGGTCCTTTTAAGGTACTAGATTAGGAATAGGAGCCCTGAGCTACTAGTCTTGACTTTAGTGTATAATCCTGGGCAAGTTACTTAATTACACAGGCCTCAGGTTGGTGAAATGAGAGGCTTCTGTACATAAGATTTCCCTACCTCAGTGTTACCCCCATCAGAGGTGGCTCCAAGGCAAGAGAAGAGATTTTTTTTTCTTTCCCTCAATTGAGAAACATCAATTAGGCAAGGATTATAGTTAACTATTAGCACGTGTGTCATCTGGAATGGAAGCTAGGTTGGTAATAAAATGAATGAAGGGAAATGCTCCCACCCAGCAGGCAGGGCAACTAGCCTTAGGCAAGCAGCTAAATGACTATACCTGCCGCTGGATTAGATCCCACATCTGCTCAAAGGGCAGGCACCTCAATTCCTCGGAATGGATGGGAAAAGCTGGGATATTCAGGTATCTATAAATGTTCCATCTTTAAATACTCTAACATGTACTCTATCAAACTTCACACTCCCTTGGTGTCTCAGCTTCCTCCCTGCATGCACACTGACTTGAGAAAATGGAATGGAAGCTGGGGACCCTTTACTTAATGAATCAAGAAGGCACTCATGTGCTTTTCAAAAGTTAATCTTTTTTTAAGACTCCCCCCACTTGAAGAGGGGATATAAACCTCATAGGACTTAAGGTACACAACTCTAAAGTCAGAAGTACCTAGAGAGGCAAAGGAAGAGCCCGAGGTACCCAAGTTATTTTTCTCCAAGCCATGCTCACAGACACAGATATTATTATGATGACTGTTTCCCCACCACAATGCAAGCACAATAAAATCCCCCTTCTGCCTATCTTTTTTTTCCCCCTTCAGGCAGGAAATAGCTGTCAGATGGAATTCATACAACAGCAAACCTCCAACAGGAGCTGGTCTCCTAGTTCAGCTGCAGGAACAGAAGCATCTTCACTTCCTGACTGTCTCTGGACACACTTTCCTTCTCCTGCTCATTCCCTTCGCTTTATCTGATTGCAGGATCTCAGGTCGCTAATCAAGGTCAATTTAAACAGCCTTTCAGAGCCAAGAAGAGCAGAGCCCACGCAGTTATTCAAAGTGTGCTCCCCACGCCCATGCCCATACTTAGAGGAAACGCTGGATACGCATTTATTAATCATCCGCTAAGATCGAACTTAGGCCAGGTGAAAGTCACTGATCTACCTGACATGTTCTGTTCCCATCATTTTGTAGTAAAAGGGATGTACTTTGTTTTACACCTCTGGAAGTCACTAAATCCTATGGAATTATGTTAGTTATGTGCATAGGTATCCTCAATTCAACAGGCTTTATTCAGCCCCAACCATAAGTTGGGCACTGTGCCATGAGCAGCACCACGAGGTCCTTACCTAAATGTTCTATCTCATTGAGCTCCTAGCACACTATTCGGCACACTTAATAATTGTGTGAGTGAATGAATGGAGTAAACACATGTCTAAAGGCTAGTGAATTTCAGACTTGCCTCGTGGTGTTCAATCAAGGGGATCATAGGACCATAAAATGGGAGCTGGAAGGGGACTCAGCAGCCATCAAGACCAGCCTCATTATTTTACAGGTTGAGGAAAGAGAGGTTAAGGGACTTGCCCAGGGTCACACAGCCAGGAAGTGTTAGGGGCAGGATTTTAACCCAGGTCTTCAAAAAAGTGTACACTGGAAATCTGTCTTGGTTAGATGTGTGGGGTTCATTTTGCAGTCAGTCTCTCTTGAACCTAACATGGCTCACACTGGAGACAATGTACAGAATGGGTCTGTTCTGGGGAAAGGAACTAGCTGCTAGGTTTTCCCTTCCACCCTCCCTTTGTCTGTGTGCACCTGGGTTCTATTTCAGGCCCTAAAAGCTAACACAGGGCTAAGTCACATTATTTCTCTTCAGCCTTGATTGTCTCATCTGTAAAATGAAGAAAGTGGACCAAATGATCCCTAAATTCCATTCCAGCTCTACAACCCCGAAATTCTCCTGGAAGGACTATTTCTACATCTCTACAAATAAATGCCTTTTATGGACCATGTTTCTAATTCCCATGGTGCCATCTGGGTAGATCAATCAGATGACATTCACCAGTGGTTAAGGAGCCTTCCTAATGGCCTCATTTGTTTCTAGGTGAGCAACCAGAAAGCAGATGCCAAGACAAATGACCTCTCCCTACCTTTTTGACAGACATGAGCCTCCACCAGGACTCTACTGCTTTGATGTGTTTGTACATGCATGCACAGGGGTTAGCACATGTGTTTGGGGGGATGAGGGAAGTAGAGAAATGCATTGGATAACCTTGCAGGGACCAGAGGCAGAATACCTATCTGCATAACTGTTGGCTTTTGGTGGTCTGGCAGTCACAGGGAGACGTGCTAATGTACCCCTAATCCAGAGAGAGGCACTGCTTAGACACCCCCACCCCGACTTGTGACTGTCCATTTCAGCTTGCCTGTCATCATTTTATGAATTATTTGGAGCATTCTGAGGGCCTGTCTATGAAAATGATAAATTCCCTCTTAAACTTATCACAAGTCAAGACTTCTGAGACTCTTGTCGGTCAAGGTAATTTGCTCACGATGTAGCATTTTTAATAAAGAGCCATCTCTTTACAAGAGGGGTGGGAAGAAAGCTGGACAGCACTGTGCTCTGACAAAGGGTCAGAGAATGGCCAGGGGCTGAGTCAGGGGCGGTCACTCGCCAGCCTTAGCGTGACCTGAGTTGGACTCCTTTTACACAGAGATGTTTCTAAAGGCAAAGGCAACAGTATGAACTAAAACTGATCAACCACCCTGACAAAAAATGTCTTGAATAAACAAAAGCTTCATCTCCAAATTGAAAAGCAACCTTCCCAAACATGACTGGCTTCCAATGAAAATCCCACCTCCTACAAGAAGCCTCCCTCCCACCCTTAATTCCAGTGGCTCCCTCAATTAATTATTTCCTATTTGTCCCATATATAGCCTGCTTTGTATAACTATGTTTGTATGTTATCTTCCCCCATCTCCCATTAGACCGTAAGCTCCTTGAGAGCAGGGACTGTCTTTTGCCACTTTTTGTATCCCTAAATGCTTAGCACAGTGTCTGGCACGTGGTAGACACATAATAAATACTGACTGATTGATTGACTGACTGATGTTCTGAAAGTGCTGATTTAACTTTTCTGACTTAAAAGAATATCTGAGATGAAAACCGTCTGAAACATCCCAAGATCATTAGGTCAGTTAAACCAACGCTACATCTCAACAGTCCAGACCTGTTAAAAATCTCCAGAAAAGGTTCCACAACTTCCTTCTAAAGTTGTCTGGGGTGTGAAAATCCTTCTGATACCCAGGGACTTCATTTTAATGTTTCACCCAAATCCCTCTTACATCAATGTTTACAATGTTTACACCCAGCACAATTCCCCATGTACAAATTTTATCGTTATGTTTTTTCATATAATTGAACTATTAAGTAGCTAACAGGATTCATTATTGTATTGATAGATTAAGTTCCTACTCATTTGTCTTTTCAACTCTAAGCTAACATAAAATGGAAAAGGTTCTGGGTAACTAATTTAAAAAAAAAAAAACAAACTAGATTCCTTAAAAGGATTTTTTAAAAAGCAAATCATTAGTTCTTAATGGGGAATGGGCAGTATTTAATGCAGAATTAAACACAAATTATTCCAGTTGGAGGAGAAATTCAATTTACTGGGCATAGACTGTATTTCTTGACTGCAAAACAAGTTAATTCTTTTCATTCAGACTCAGCATGCAGATTCACTGGCTATGTTTCATCTCACATCTGCAAACTTAATTTCTCCTTTCTTGGTTGTCAGAAGATTAGGAAATAAATTTTAGTCCAGGCATCAAATTCTATTTGGCAAAACCAAAATAACTTAATTATTAAAAAGCAAAGCCAATGGCAAGTCAGACAGCTTTCAAAGGACTATTAATACAATTTTTAAAGAGCCAGTTTGGCTGTGAGAAGACTGAAATACATAGATAAAAATATTTTGGATACTTTCTGCAAAAAAAAGAGTGATATGTGTGACACATTTAGACTGTAATATGAAAGATTTAGGGTAGACACAAAGAAAAATTTCCCGACAATGGTTGTAAAACATTGGCATTGGCTCTCCTGAGGCTACAGACTTTAAAAACAGGATAGAGCTTCAATTGGCTGAGATGGGTTTGGATGTAATCCTCCTTAGAGCCGAGGGAATGGATGGGATGACCTCCCAAGATCTATTCCATCCCTACAATCCTATGTGGATGAAGAGGAAATCTTTTAAATGGAAACCTGCTATTTAAAAGGCTTGTGAAAATGAGTGTCTTCCTATTTGAAGGGGAAATGCCTTCCTCTTTGGAGTTAGCTCTTAGACCATATTCTAGCTGGTAAGTATTCATGACTTTAAATGCAGAGGATATCACCAAAGGGAGGAGGCTGACCATCCAAAGGTCCTTGGAGAGGGAACAGAGCCAAAAGCAAAACGCAGACTCCAGGTTTCCGTCGCCTCCGAGAGCAGGAGTCGGGAGGCTGCCATCACGCCCGAGCCCAAGCCCCTGCCTTACCGTAAAGTAGAACTGCTCTGTCTCCTGCTGGTTGGCTCTCCTCTTGGCAATACTGGGTTTGCTCATGAAGGTTTCTGAGACAGTAGACTTGACAGACTCCATGGAGTTGCTGTACTGGAAGCAGTCAGACACGTCAAAGTCCTCAATGGTTACGATGTCTTGGATGGTCTGCAGGGTGGCCTCCATCGTCTTCTTCACCTGTTACACCAGGAGAGGGAGGGCAAGGCAGAGGATGACACGAGGAGTACAACTGGGGAGGGGAGAATGCTGAAGCACAAGCCTGGGGAAAGGGCTGGGCTGCCGTCAGGGAGCACCTTGGCTTAGACGCCGTAATGCCGTAATAGGACACTGAGGGCGTGGCTCAGACAGGACCAAGCCCTGAAAACAGTCATCCTTGGCCTGGTTAATCCCTTGACACAGTTCCTGGGTTTGTGGGAAATGTCAAGGGAAGAGGAAGAAAACAACCCAAGCAGAGGGAAGTAGGACTCCAGAAGGAGGTATCTGGTGGCAATTCATTTTCTTGCACTACATGTAAAGTTGGGTTAGAAGAGCGTATTCCTTCACCACTACATCCTCAGAAGTTTTGTCTTTGGATCTGTGGCACCTAACACAGTGTTGGCCCAAAGGAGGTGCCACATAAACGCTTCTTGACTGGTCGGGGCAACTAGACGGATAAGAGTGTTGGACTTGGAGTCAGGAAGATCTGAATTCAAATCTGCCTCAGACACATAATGTCTGTGTGACCCTGGGTAAATCATTCAACCTCCCTCAGCCTCAGTTTCCTTATCTGTAAAATGGGGATAATGATAGCACGATCGAGTTTTTATGAAGATCAAATGAAATGTAAAAGTGCAATGAAAAATTTAAAGTGCTATTCAAATACTAGATGTTGTTATTATTATCGCTGTTGCTGTTGTTAATCAGTTGATCTAGGATGAGATGCAGTAGACTAAGTGTGAAGATCTGGTTCCAGCCTAGGCTTCACCATATAATCATTTAACCTTTTTTTCCTTATTTGTAAAATAAGGAGGTTCACCATCACCTCTTCCAGATTTTCCTAAAAATGAGACAAAGTGAGATGAAAACTGGGAAGCTATTTGAGCTGAGAAGCTGGATAACTGATTGAACCACTTCTGTGAATTTATCAGAAGACTTGAGTTCAAATCTGACCTCAGATAGCTGTGTGACCCAAGGCAAGTCATTAAAAAAAAAAATCTCTTTGTCTCAGTTTCCTTGACTATAAAATGGGGATAATAGTAATAGCACGTTCCTCCTGAGGTTGTTGGGAGGATCAAATGAGATAATTGTAAAAAGCACTTAGAACAGTGCCTGTCATATAGCAGGCACTATATAAATGCTCATTCCCTTCCCTCTTCCCCTTATTATTGAAAGCACAGAAGCAGCCCTCCTCTAGGCAGGGCAGAGACATCTGAATCGACAAAGCCAAAGGCCTGTGTTTGTTTGAAAATGCTAGAGAAAGCCAGGCACGAGGGGGTGGTTCCAGAGATACAATATTGTTCACACAGCTGCCAAGTGCCATTTCAATGAAACGTGTAGAGGGAAAAAAAGAAAAGACATTTCTCAGAGGCTTAGAATAGAGTGCAGCCTTTGGCCATGCCAGAGTGACTTCCTGGAGTTCAAGGGCAGGATGTAGGACTAGAGGAAAGTACAAGCCTCTGTTTGCTAAGGAAACGCCTGCCAGGGCTCAAGACATCCTCTGCATGCTCCTTCCAACCATCCCTAGACAAAGCATCTGAAGTAGGTAGGACAGGAAAGCCGAGGGGATGAGGCTCCGAGGTCAGGAAACTCACCTCTTCATTCTCAATCTTGAGGGTGGATAATCGGGACTGCAGCTGCTGGCACCTCTGGACCAGCTCACTCTGGACCGGCTGCTGAGCACAGAGCTGCGAGGCCTGCCAAGAGGAAGTGGCACCAGAGAGAGGGTCAGAGAGAGGCCATGCTTCTTCTTAAGGGTTTGGGAACGTGGCCCCCAGTAAAAAAAACTAGTTAATTTAAGTGTAACCCAGTGAGTTTCCATGTGGAAACCTCAAAGCCAACTCCAACTTGCAAAACTCTTGCAGAATTAAATGTTTTTATGAGAGGAGGACAAAGATGAAAGCACTTCAAGCCAGTGGGGTCACCCTTTTTCTTTTTTTTTTCTTACACATAGAAATGACTAGTGACCCACCTCTTGATCTTGCTTAGCAGGGATAAGAGCTCCTCTACATAGGGAAGGCCTAGCCAGGATGGAGAGCATCCCAGACCACCTCAATCTGTCAGGCCGTCCCAACGCTAGAGAAGCAATGCTTCGGCCAATCCAGACTTCCTTCTGGAGGTCCAAATGGCCACATTCCCCTGCCCCCATAATTTCACCCAGAGAGAAAGTAGAAAAGAATGATGTCAGGAGACCGATCAACCCACTGTGGGGAATGTCAATGGCAGCCAGCATATGTTTAGACACTCAGAACATGCACACAGTCTCTGATTCAACCATGGAGAAAAGTTCATAGTTTAGGGCTGGACTGAGGGCTCTGCAGCTGTAGAATCTGGTGGGAGTTTGGGATTTTCCAAAGGGCCATCCTTTTACCCTGTTTTTTTCAACAACCTGGGTGAGAGAGTTAGAAAGAAGCCTGGCCCCTCTTACCAGGATCAGGCAGATGAAGCTGCCCCAGCACAGTGAATACGAGGGGCTCCGTCACTGCCTCCTCAAGTGCATCCAGCATTAATCCCACCAGCCGTGGCCGAGTTGGAGCCTGGGAAGCATCCTCTATAACAAGGCAGCTTCACTAGCCCGGACATCTACACAGAGAGTCCTATGAATAGCAATGGGGCCCTTCTCCCCTTCCGAAGAGTGGGAGTGTTCAGACACCCACTAGACCATTCTCTTGCTTGGGGAAACAGATACACTTTTCAAGGGAAGGGGGCTGGGCAAGAACCTTCTCCTCCACTGACTTTCAATCCCACCATTTGACCTGACCTCCTCCCCCCGGCTGAGAGGCTGGCCTTAGCCGGCTCTCAGATCTGAAGGGCTGACTTCATCCTGGCTCCTGAAGGAATAGACACAATAGAGAAAGCTAGGCAGCCAGAACAGGCCATGGCCAAGGTTGAGAATCTCCAGCTGTCTGATGTCACCAGTCAGGCATCCAAGGCCCAGGAGCCACTGGGGGCATGGAGAACAGAGCCAATCCCCTCTTAGTATGTCTGAGTACATCTGGCATCTGATTTGGGGGCCTAGCTACTCCAGGGTCATGGTAGGTTCTCTGCCAACTTCAACGCCTCCTGTTAAAATGCCACCAGCACTTTAGCCTCAGCTGCATCAGATTCTAGCCAGCTCTCTCCTATCCTTTGTCTCATTCTACAGAAGAAGATGTAGTTATCTGCCCAGAGGGACCCCTTTTCTTCCCATGGTTTCTATTCATCTTCCACCAAGGGGAGAGAGCAGGCTAAGAGCAGTACCCTTCAGAAGCTGCAGGACACCTAGCAAGGCCCTTGATTATTCAGGCCACATCAGGAGGGGACTCGCCTCTTCCTGGGAGAGGACAGACAAAGAGGAGAGGCTACTGAATGATGTTAAGGTGAAGCAGAAACCTTGAAGGAAAATCTGACACCAACGGAGCTTGATCCTTTGAGAAGAAGGATCAGGGTGGCTGACACATCTGTAATGGAGTCTAGCTGTGCTCTAGGAAATGGAAGAATGAAGTTCCTGATGTGGCTACAGGTGGGATGAAATGCCTGGCATCTGGAACTTCCTCTCTGGAGAGAAGCTATTGGGCATAAGAAAATCTCAGGCAACACCCAAACATGTGCTGCTCCAGACAGGTGGCTTCTGAGCTTGCTCCTTGGTCAGGAGTTTTCAGCAGAGGATGGATGAGAACTGTGCAATGATTGTGGCTGGGAGACAGGGCAATGTAACTAGGAATTCCGAGGGCGCCTCTCCCTACTTCTAACTCTGCATGGGGTGGCATCATCTCACCCCCAAATCAGTCCATCTGTTCTGAAGCTCCTATTTCCTAAACCACAGTAATGGAAACAAACTGTAAATAGTTTGGTTCTATTTAAGCAGATGGGGGCGGGGAAGAGCACCCATTCAAACCCCAGAAAAGAATCTTGACGGGAAAGGGAACCTGGCCAGGAACATCTGTTAGGCAAGCCCCCAAACACCACAACGCCAGCGTCACACATGCAGACAGAGGAGTTGGCCACCCTTTGGGTGGGAGGGTGGAGGAGCACAGGGGCAGGACTCACCATGTCTCCCATGTGCGGCTGGAACTCAAACTTCATGGGTGGGCAGAAGACATTGTTGTACATTTCCATCAGTCTCTGCTTATCGCTGGTGGCATCTAAGTTCTCAACGGCATTTTCAATGGCATCCAGGCCCTCGTGTTTTGACTGTTCCAGGTTGAGCTCGGCTGACAGGAAAGTACGCAGGGCCCGGTTCAGACTGGCATGGTATCCTAGGTCACAACACTGCTGTGGAAAGACATGAACACTCAGAGAGTGAGCAGAATTCATAGAAGCTGCTTTGAAGGGGCTATTCTGAACTGGTTTTGAAGTAGGAGAAAAAGAACAGTCCTCCTGGCACCCAATGTCATAGGAATGACAGAGCTGAGATAAGAGGTCCAATTTCTTGTTCCAAGTTCAACACATCATACTTCCTTGAGTGCTCTGAAATTCTTGGGTAAAAATAAGATGTTTAAATGAACAGTTGAGTCATTTAATGAGTGAAGAGTTCAAATGGAGTTTGGGACAGGACCTTTCCAAATCATACCACCAGTCTTTCACTTCAGGACACTGCCATGTTGCAGATAAACAACAGACCAGCCCGCAAAATCTCTATCAGCCTCTGCTAGTATAAGGATCCCCAGACTGAATTCCCTAGATGGTCACTCTGGTTTCCTGCTGTGCGGCAGATCTTTCCTTGGCTGGGACAAGGAATGCAGAATGGAGATGCCTTAGGAGGCCTCTTGGGGCCTGGGCCTTTAAATTTACTTCTGTTGTGCCACTAAAACTCAACATTGAAGAGTGGGCCTCAGCAGGTTCCTCCAGCATTTGTGCATTATAGTGCCAGGCACAGCAATGGTGTTTATAAGGTCAACCATATGACACACCATCTGTTAGACACAGACTATATATGATGAACTCTCTCACCTCCTGACTCCCAAGGCACCATCTGCACTATCATGTCCTGAGTGAGGTGATGAAGGGGTACGTGGCTTAGAAAAACTTAGTTCCAAACCTCAAGGAGTTGACAGTTAGAGTTAACACTAGTTCCAAAGACAAATATTCACGCCAAAAATTAAAAGCATCATGTACAAGGGAAGAAGGGTGGTGTAGAGGTAGAAGAAACAACGGCTTTTGAGTCTTGAGTACTGGCTTTGACCCTAATGAGCTCTGTGAACTTGAGCAAATGACTGACGTTTTTTAGGTCTTTCCATCTGCAAAGTGGGGATGGGGGTTAGATGAGCTCCAAAATCCCTTCCAGCTCCAACATTTGATGACTCTAGAAACACTTACTTTTGCATCCATTTAAACATTTATTAAGAGCCCGCTATGCATATGGCCACCACACAGCCTAGATTTTCTGGGACAGTCAGTGTACTTTTAATGAGACTTTGCAAAAGGAACGTCTTTATTAGAGCACATGTCCCAACTTTTGGTTCAGAAAATATGGTGAGTGTAATTGTAACTATGTGCAAATGTGTTATGCTAAGCATATTGGGGGAGGCTACAACGACAAATAAGACATGGCCTCTGCCTTCAAGAAGCTTATATTCTACTAGGGGAAATGACAAAAATACAGATCATCTCTACTAAGTGAATATAAAGTAAATCTGGGGAGGTTGATGAGAACAATTGAGAAAATCAGAAAGAGCCTCTTGGTGGTGACGTCGATCTGAGCCTTGAACCGAGAGAGTTGTGGGATCCCAAGACTTGGAGATGAGGATACATTCCAGGCATGGGGCATATACAAAAGTAAAGGTGGGGGGTGCCCAGGACTGGGGAGCAACAAGGAGACAAGCTTGGCTAGGAGGTAGAGGACTTCCAACCCTGGGCCGGCAGACCGGGTCAGCCCAAGGCAAGTGTCCTACGGCTGCATGGAGTACTGGCTCTCTGTCCTCTACTGTGCTTTATTTCTCCTCTCCCCTCAGGTGCCACGGACACTTTCCATGCCCAGCTTCCCTTCGTGCCCTTGGAGCTGCCTCATTTCCCTCTTACTCACACCAACTACTACATAAGGCTAGTGTAAGACTCACAAGAGATAACGCATATAAAGTGCTTTGCAAATTATAGTTATAAATGACACCAATGCCCTTATTTGTTATCAGTCAAAAGTGATGAGATGGGAAAAGGATGAACTCACTTCCAGCTTGAGGGGTGGAAAGGGGGTGGTGGTCAGAGAAGGCTTCAGGAATCCTGTTTGGGCCCAGGATGCCTAGGTCCAAGAGCTTCAGTCATACACTGGGTCTCTTCTCCCTCTATACTACTTCATTTGGTGACCTTACCAGCTCCCATGGATACAATAATTATCTCTACGCTGATGATTCAAATGTACCTATCCAGCCTTAACGTTTCTGCTGACCTCCAGTCTTTCATCTTAAACTCAACACGTCCAAAATGGAACTCACTAGTAGCCCCCCCCCAACTCTCCCCTCTTTCAAACTTTTCAGTTAGTGTTGAAGGCAAAGCCATCATTCCAGTCTTCCAGGCTCACAACAACCTAGGTGTCATCCTCAACTCTTCCCTATCTCTTGCCCCTCTACTCAATCTATTGCCAAGACTGACTTCACCTTTGCAAAATCTTGAATTCACCCCGTTCTTCTTTCCTATACTGCCACCTGCCTCGTGTAGGCCCCCATCACCTCCCACCTGCACCACGCAATAGCCTGTTGGTGGGCTGCCTGCCTGCCACACATCTCTCCTTCCTCCGGTCCATCCTCCATTCAGCCAAGAAGTGATTCTTCCTAAAGATTCAGTCTCACCATGCCACTCCCCTACTCAAACTCCAGTGGCTCCCTATCTCCTCCAGGATCAATACAGAATCCCCTGTTTGGTCTTTCATAACCTCCCTCCTCTCCTCACCAACCTCTCTAGTCCTTTTTACATTTTGCATCTCCCCTGCGCCTCACCCCCACTCTTCGATCCAGTGATAGATACCAGCCTCCTGGCTATTTCTTGGCTCTGGGCATTCCTCTAGCTTGCCCCCCATGCCTGGAATGCTCTTCTTCCTCATCTCTACACCGGCTTCCCTGGCTTCCTTCAAGTTCCAAGTAAAATCCCACCTGCCACAGGAAGCCTTTACCAATTCCATGTTAACTCCAGTGACTACCCCTTGGGAAATATTTTCCATTTCTGTAGCTTGTTTATCCATGTTTGCATGCTTGTTGTGTCCCCCATTAGACTGTGAGCTCTGTGAGGGCAGAGACTGGGCTTTAGCCTTTCTTGTATCCTGAGTGCTTAAAATAGTACCCGGCACATAGTAGGTGCTTTGAAATGTTTACTGACTGACAGGAACAGCAGCCTACCCAGCTCTTGGGACCAGCATCAAAGACAGAACCCTCTAGAAATGTATTTTCAAGGCTCCTGTGAGAACATCTGCTTGATTGCCAATCTGTTGCATAAATTGACATTTCATTAACTCTTCTCTTCCTCCACGTCTTCTACTCCACATCACTCTGAACTGCCTCCATTTGGGATGAAAGAGTACGTGGCACAGCGGCTCTCCTTCTAGGTGTATGACAAACCCCTCTCCAATGGGGCAGTGTGGTGTGATGGAAAGAGGCAGAGGACCACTTACTGGGTACAGGACCCTAGGCAAACCTCATCACTTGTCCGAACCTCAGTTTCCCTGCCTGTAAAATGGGGCTACATGCACTGCCTACCTCAAAGGCTGCAGCGAGGTTCAGATGAGATAATGCGCAGAACACACGTTGCAACTCGTCAGGAGGAAGATAAATGTGAGCTATTATTGGAGAGTGTGCCGGGCCCTGGGATGGTGCCAATGAGCCCTGGCAGGTGCAAAGCTGCTGCACAGGAACAGCAGTTGAGAGCTTAACTAGAGGCAGAGAATTAAAGGACATTAAATTCAATTGGGAGAGGAGAACAAACGGAAGGCAGACAAAAGCAGGCTGATTGCTAAGCGGTACGTGCCGGCAGGCTCTCCTCCCTAGGCTGGCAGCGCCACTGCCGGCAGGGCTTGAAGCCCGTCCTCCTCTGGGTCAGGGAGGATCCGGCCTTACAAGGTCATTGTGGAGCCAGGGGTCTAATGACCTGCCAGCAAATGGGTCCCCCACAGTGTGGGGCAAATGAGGTCTTTTCTTAGGGCAGGAGGAGAGGTAGCAGAAGAAGTGGAAGCGATCTGTCCACAAACATTTGCTATGCTTCTCATCCCTCTGGGGCATCTCTGGCACCACCCTCTCTCCCTTCTGACCTCTCCTCCCTCCATCCGATCAACTGCCAGATGCTAGCCTTTCTACCTCTGCCCCCTCCTTTCTACTACCACCATCACTACTGCCTTTGTAATTGCAATCTTCATGACCACGTAAGAGGACTCTCCCTCTCCAACTCATTGTTCCCACTGTTGTCTAAATCTTCTGAAAGCACAGGCCTGACCATGTCACTGCTCAAGAACTTTCAATGGCTCCCCATTACTTGCTGAATAAAATGCAAACTCTTTAGCTTGGCATTCAAGGCCTCTCATAACCTGACTCAAGCCTACCTTTCTAAATCTGTTGCATACAACTCCCCTCCTTTATGTCCACTCCTTGTCATTTAAACTGGACCACTCATTATTCCCTGACCTTTGCTTGCTTTTTCCCACCACTGTGCCTTTCTTTGTACATGCTGCCCTCCAGACCTCGGATGGTCTCCCCTGACATTTCCACATGTGCTATAAAGACATGGAAACCACACTGGTTTGGAATCTGGAAATACAGAGCTGCGTTCCTGTATGACATTTGTTCATGTGTGGCCTTGGGGAGGTCACTATAACTCACTGAACTGCAGTTCCCTCATTTGTAAAATACAGGGAGAGACACTAACACTTTTTTTTTTGTACTACCTATATCTACCTTATAGGACTGAGAGAACACCTTTAAGCACTATAGCAATGTAAGTAATTATTTGCTTTCTGCAAGGCCTTTCCTTTCAATTGTTCATAACATCCTTTTCGGGCTCTTCCTATGTACTTATTATATTTCCTATATCTGTGTCACTTAACTTGATTTAAGAGTTATTTGTGTATTTGTCTTACCCTCTTCCCCTTGCTTGACTGTATGTTGTTTTTATCTTTGTATTTCCAGACTTAGCATGGTGGTGTGGGTGTAACAGAAGCCTGATAAGTGTGTGTTGATGGTAATCGACAACTATTGCCATCAACTTACTACAGTCCCTTACATCTATGCCATTAGTTTATTAATTGGTCTTTCTACCTTTAATTCCATGCTTCAGTCTGCACTGTTACCACTTCAGCC